CTACAGCCCTTCTAACCAAAGAAAGTAGAAAAATCACCTTTGGGGGAGACCTAATTATTAGCACTCCCCATCAAGTTAGGACAATCTTAAATCAGAAGGTGGGTAGATGGCTGATGGATTCCAGGATCCTAAAGTATGAGGCTATCTTGCTAGAAAGGGATGACCTAACTTTAACTACTGATGAGGCCCTAAATCCAGCCACTTTCTTGGAAGGAAGGCAGGAGGGAGGAGCACCCGAAAATAAATGTTTAGATATGATTGAATATCAAACAAAAGTGAGTCCAGATCTTGGGGAAACTTCTTTCCAGACCAAGTTCCATTTCTTTGTGGATGGATACTCTCGGTTAATCAAGGGGAAAAGGCATAATGGATATTCTATAGTAGACAGGGAGGCAATGACTATAATAGAATCAGGCCAACTCCCTAACAATTGGTCGGCACAGACTTGCAAATTGTTTGCCCTAAATCAGTCCTTAAAACACCTAAAGGACAAAGAATGGACCATACACACTGATTCAAAATATGCATTTGGTGTGGTCCACACCTTTGGAAAAATCTGGATGGAATGGGGCTTAATCAATCACAAAGGCCAAGACTTGGTACATGGAGAATCAATTCAACAAATAATAGAGAGCCTAAAACTACCTGAAAAAATAGCCATAGTCCATGTGTCAGGTCACCAAAAGGTGCAGATGAGACAGCAAAACAGGCTGCTCTCACTTCTGAGGCCTCGGTCTTTTGTCTTATTCCACACCTCCCTACTCCTCATGTCACCCCTTATCTTTACCCCCTCTGAGGAAGAACTAAAAAAACATGGGGCAGTCAGGACTGAACAGGGAAATTGGGTTCTCCCCAATGTGAGAGAAATGATCTCATAGCCCCTAATGAGAGAACTCCTTACTTATCTCCATCAGGGGAGCCACTGGGGGACCCCAAGCCATGTGTGATGCAGTTTTGCAAGCCTGTGGGTGTATAGGGATTTATACACTAGCCAAACAAGTATCAGAAGGATATCTTACTTATTGAAAGATTAACAAGCAATCTCTGAGACAGAGACCAGCTGGGGGTAGAAACCCCGGGTTTCGACCTTTCCAAAGCATTCAGGTAGATTACACTGTGATGCCCAAAACAGGTCATCTTAAAATACCTCTTGGTTATTGTAGACCATCTCACTCACTGGGTCGAGGCTATCCCTCTCCCAGGGGCCACTGCTACAAATGTAATTAGGTTATTACTAGAAACATAATCCCAAGGTTTGGGGTTATAGAAAATATAGACTCAGACAATGGGAGTCGTTTCACTGCCAATGTCCTTAAGGGACTTATGAAGGCTCTAGAGATCAAATGGGAATATCATACTCCCTGGCATCCACCTTCCTCAGGGAGAGTTGAAAGAATGAATCAGACTCTTAAAAAACAACTCACTTAATTAGTCTTAGAGACCAGATTACCTTGGACTAAATGTCTTCCCATAGCACTACTCAGAATTAGGACAGCCCCTCAGAAGGACATTGGCCTCTCCCCCTGTGAAATGCTTTACGGGCTTCCTTACCTTAGCTCTGTTACTGATGTGCCTTCCTTCGAAACCAGACTATTTCCTCAAAAATTATATACTTGGATTGTCCTCTACTTTGTCTTGGGAAAAAAAGGATTGTTACCACAGGCTTCTCCACGTGACTTTCCTGTTCACCACATCAGCCTGGTGATTATGTGCTAATCAAGACCTGGAAAAAAATAAGCTTGAGCCAGCTTGGGAAGTACCCTTCCTGGTCCTGCTGACCATGGAGACAACTGTCCAGACTGTGGAGCAGGGATGGACTCATTACACACAGGTAAAGAAGACGCCCCCACCTGACCAGAAGGAACAATGGGCTATGCTCTCACATCCAGGCAACACCAAAGTGACTTTAAAAAGACTATAGTTAAAATATTCTTTCCCTTTCATTTGGGAAATGGTATGCTTATTATGAATGTAACTCGGAGTACTTTTCCCTTAATTGTTGAATTTGATATACGCCAGATCCTTCCTTGTGGAGGCCTTATGTCCCAACTCCAGCTCCAAGAATATTCCTTTTATATGTGCCCCATCCTGGAACCCACAGGGAAGCTGGTATCTGTCCAGAGTGGACAGATGTGGGGTGAAACACTGGGTATAAAGGATACACTTCTCCCTTTTATGACAATCCTAAGGGCTGGACCAGACCCCAGGGCACTGGAAAGACTACGATTTCTACCATCCAGAACAACTGACAGTCTTTTAACAAACTACAGTCAAAATTACAGCTGTTTCAGACACACTCCTCTCCTACTTGTAAAGATAAACAATGTAACCCACTTAGATTAGTCATAGAAAGCCCTTGGAGTATGACACGAGAACCATCTATATTTCGTAGACATGGGTTGAGGCAGATGTCTCAGGGACAGACCTGTTAGGTGCCTTTGAGCTCTATCTAGTTCCCAACCCCTCCTAGGTGACACCCAGTTCTACCTCCACTCCAATATTGCCTCCATGTTTGTACAACAATCGAACTCAGGTAACTGTAGTAGAAGACAAGGACCTAAGACAAACTGTGGCTACTGAAATCAGGTACAGAGATACAAATGCTTGGATGGAACGGATAAAATGCTGTCTGCACGTTAAATAAGAGCAATTGCTATGTTTGTGCTATTGGGAGACCAGAGTCTCAGGTGGTCCCGTTCTCATTAGGATGGTCCTCAGATCCAGATGGAATGTATTGCATGTTGGCTCTGTTTCAGGATGCCAAAGCTTGGGGCAATGACTCCTGCCAGATGCTATCACTACTGTTCTCAGAGGTCAGAGGTCCTATGGGTCAGTCCCCGAGGACTATTAGGCCACCCACCCTAGACGTCAATTATACTCCATGTCTCACCGACAGGGGGGACGATTGACAAGTGTGGGAAACCTGATGGGATACAGTGAAAGCCAGTCCTTCAACTGCTTCACAAACCAGTCCACACTCTCAGTGGGCAGAGCCAATGTCTGGTGGTACTGCAGAGGACCTTTACTTGAGACTCTCTCAGATAACTGGGCAGGCACCTGTGCTTTGGTGCAGTTGGCAATCCCTTTCACCCCAGCATTTAAATCCCCAGCCTGTGCCACAACACCTAGGAAAAGTAGAGACATAGACACAGACACTGCAGCCAACCACAGAGGCTCCCTTGATCCCCATGCTTACATTGATGCCATTGGGTTTCCTAGGGGATGCCAAACAAATTCAAAGACAGAAATCAAATTGAAGCAGGATTGGAATCAGTACTTTTCTGATGGTCCACTATAAATAAAAATGCCAATTGGATTAATTATATTTATTATAACCAACAAAGATTTGTTAACAGGGATGCCATCAAAGGAATAGCAGAGCAATTGGGACCAACTAGCCAGATGGCTTGGGAGAACAGGCTAGCATTAGGCATGAGGTTGCCCAAAAAGGGAGGAGTCTGCATAATGATTGGAGTTTTGTGTTGAACGAATATCAAATAATACAGCCCCCAATGGAACTACTACTAAGGCCCTACAGGGATTAACTACCCTATCTAATGAGCTAGCTGAAACTCAAGGTATAAATGATCCCTTCACTGACTTAATGGAAAATTGGTTTGGGGAGATGGAAGGGCTGGATGACCTCAATCTTAACCTCCTCGATCATAGTGGGTAGAGTTTTAATTTTAGCAGGATGCTGCATAATTCCTTGTGTCTGAGGACTAATACAGTAGTTAATTGAGACAGCCCTCACCAAACAATCACCCCTGCTCTACCAAAATAACTTGTTTCCATTAGAAACACAGGAACACAAGAGCCAACAGCTCCTAAATGAGTTTGAAGAAAAGAATTTAACTTAAAAGAGGGAGGAAATTGTAAGAAAAATGATCTTTTCTATCAAAGTATTTGTTATCCTCCTAGATTACCTAAAAATGCCTCAGGTCACCATCTTAGATGACTTGCATGTTTAAAGGGTCCTTGCTTCTTCTTCCAGATTCCTGTACAACTCCATTGCCCATCAAACTGCATGCCCTAACCCATCCCCCAGGCCTTTTAGCCAATCAGGAAAGATTGTGAACCTTTGACCTGGACAAATCCCAGGTGAGGGGCAGGTACAACTGCGTCAGGGATATAAGGAGGAGCCACTGTCAGCCATTTTGTGCCTGTGTGCTTGCTTAGCAGGAGTGAGCACATGCTTGCACTCTCTTAATCAAGAGAAAATTGCCTTGTCAAGATTTTCTGTCTCTTGAGTGTCTGTTTTTAGCACCGGAGGGTTATCAATTCCAACACAGGGTAAAGGGTATCCCTTCATCTTTGACTAAGAAGTTTCCTAAATTTGCGGGCATCCAACAAGAGAAATGAGTGAGGGAGTGTCACTGTCCACCTGCACAGTCCTAGCAGAACCCAGAATACACCCCAGGAAGACAAACAGTGACAGCTCTTGGGCTTTGAGGGAGATGCTACAGTCAGGGAAAAAGGCAAATGAAGCACTGCTCCCTCTAGCCAACCCCACAACCTCACCCCAAGAGGAAGCGTGTTTTGTCAAGCCCCAAGTATGGTGCACCCCTGTAGGTAGAGATTCTTCCCTCCCTTGAGTTCTGGCCCCACCTCTCCAGGCTATGGCTGTCAGAGTGACCTGCTCGGCTCTCCCTGTGGTGAATCCCACTGCAGCTGAAAGCCCCATTCAAACACAGGACTCCTGAGATCTGACACTGGCTAATTCCTGCCTCTGCTTGAAGGTCTTGAAGGTGGCATTAGAGAGGCCTCCAGGCTGGTACCAGCCAAGATGATGCTGTTAAATGCAGAATCTAAAAAGTGGGAAGGTCCCTAGGTATGACCATAGTGGCTGGTTACTATGCTTGAAATCCCACCATCTGGGCCACACTCTGGGGCTACACATTGCATTCTTTTTCTTTTTTTTGTGGTACTGGGGCTTGAACTCAGGACCTTCACTTTGAGTCACTCCACCAGCCCTTTTTGTGATGGATATTTTTGAGATAAGAGTCTCAAGAACTATTTGCCTGGGTTGGCTTCGAACCGCGATCCTCCTGATCTCTGCCTCCTGAGTAGCTAGGATTACAGGCATGAGCCACCGCACCCGGCTTCACATTGCATTCTTGAGATACATTTTTTCAAAGCTATGTTGGGAAGGTTATACATTAAAACTAGTACCCATGCATGAATGATTCACTGACCCAGCGGGCCTGGTACCTGGGTTGGTGCGGGGAGCAAAGGGTTGGTTAGGAGCAAGGGTGGATGAGAAGTGGTGCAGACAGTTTGAAGACACATCACTTCTGGATGCAGGTTGTGGAGTTTGGAGTGTGGGTTGAAGTTCGGAAGTAGAGGTCATTGGGCCACTGAAGTCCTTTAGGGCAGTGCAAGGGAAAGCTTCCCTATAGGCTGATAACTTTGGCGGGGGACACAGTAAGCCCCACTCCTCAAGTCACCAAGGGCTCTAGTTCTTGTCTCTGCAAAGCCCAGAATGAAGATAGGTCCTGTGCTTACCCCTTGCCAAGCAAAGACCACCTGAAAAGAACCCACAAGCACACCCTGAATGCACCCCACCATGTTTATGATGTAAATGTAGCAGTCTTCCTGTGGATGGAGGTGCAGAGAGCACACCTAACTGATGGAACACTAGCCCTATCCTGCACAGTTGTCCAGTGGACATGCCTCCTTCCCCAATAACTCTCCAAAACACAGGCAGTAATAAGAGGCAAACAAAAGGAGGGGGAGGCAGCAGGGTGCAGTTTGACCTCTAAAGGCTACTAGGTGTAGCCAAAAGCTCCAGCACCTCCCCACTTAGTAGTGATAGTAACAATATATATCCAACCCTTAGTAAATGCCAGGACTCACTGTAAGATTTACACAGACAAACTCATTTAATCCTCATGACAAGACAGACAGACAGACAGACACACACACACACACACACACACACACACACACACACTCAACCCCATTTAACAAGTGAGAAAAATGAGGCACAGAAAGGTTAATACCTTGCCCGAGATCACAGAGCTAGTGAGAAGAGCAAGATGCAGGTCAAGACTGCCCTCCCTGCAAAGTGCACCCTCGTCACTTGTGCTCTACCTCTCAAACTATCAGCTTGACAGGACTGGAAAGGAGAGAAGTGGCCTCTCTGAGCCAGGCACTTGGCAAACACCTGTATGCTTCAATCTCAAAAGAACCCAATGAAGGAAGTTAGAGTCACTGCCCAGGTGGAGAAATTAGGCCAGCCCAAAAAGGGTGGAGCTGAAATCCAAACCCAGCCTGAGCTCTACCCACTAGGTGTCCCTTCCCCAACCAAAGGAGCCAGAGAGAATGGAGACCAGGAGGGAGGGAGAGGAGGCAGGAGTGAGGAGGCTAGAGGGTGTTCCAGAGGTCTTCCTTGGGTCTGCCATCTGCTTCTGGCTTCCTTGGGGGTCTGCCAGAAACTTCTGTGGACCTCCCCCAAGGGTTGCCTGGCAGTGGAAGGGATGAGGAGGGCAAGGGACTCAAAGCAGCTGGCTCCCCAGAGACCAGCCACCCTGTTGCTCCCCCAGCTCCAATGCCAAAGCCTCAGGCTGGACTGCAAGGTAGAAGGAAGGTCTTGTGGGGTCCCCCACCCAGCACTCCTGCACTCTGGCCTCACGGGACCTGGGTAGGATGAGGGGCATTGCCAACCTGGAGTGCTCTCCAATGGTACCTCCTGATCTGCAGTCTTGGCAAACAGGGTTGAGGCCTGGTCAGGGCGCCTCCTCAGGAGCACCTCCAGTGACAATTCACTCTGCCAGGTGGGCAGATCAGAAGCACTGTGAGCAATCCAGAGCCCAGAAAGTCGAGGATGGTAAGGGACAAGCAGAGGGCATGAGCTAAAACAGAACTGCTGCCAGGACTGGGTGAGGCCCCCACCAAACCCAAAGTCCCTGAGCTCCCCTCTAACTCAGCCCCTGGCCAGCCCACCCAGGAGAAAGTGCATGGCTGATCACAGCAGTTTACTGGCACCAGGTACAGGACTGAGGCTTCACTGGAGCAGATGTCGCCGCACCACCATGAGTGCAGTCAGGAGTGCGAAGGCAGCCCCAGCCACCCCAAGCCATGTACCCCAGGACACAGCATTCACGCACTGCACCTCCCCTTCCTCGGGCTGTGCAGTGGTTAGCAGCACAGCGTTTTCTTCCTGGAGGTCAGTGCTGGGGTCCTCAGCCACATGAATTGCAAAGGACACATACTCGTTTTCCTCTGGACTATGGTCGGGCTCCAGGTTGTGGCCAGGTTTGGGGGTATGGCCAGGCTCTGAGCCCAGGGAGTTGCTGGGGCTGATGGCAAGGTCCTCGGAACAGCCTGAGAATGGACTATCCAGTTGGGATACCAGCACACCAGGCTTGCTCAGCTCTGGCCCAGAGCTCCTGCATGGCCAGGGCGAGCTGCCTCCAAAGGCAGTTCTGGGTGCTGGAGCTTCTGGGGTGTCCTGGGAAAACAAAGAGAGTACTGGAAGGGGTTGGGGGTGGCAGGGAGACAAGCTAGGTTGGGTGACCCAACTCCTGGGTTCCCAGACCATAATGCCCCTAAAACCACCCTCTCTTAGGGACCCAACACACTGGTGGTGCAGATGCAGCGAGGGAGGAAGGCACCAAGGCCCTGCAGTATATCATGGGTAGGCCTTCCAGGGCAGCCTTCTCCCACTTATTGTCCTGACTGTGAGTTCACCCCCAGTGGGGAGCCCTTCCTGGTGTATAGGCCATCCTTCATTGCCTGGGCATACGGGCCACTGTGCTCCACTCTTCCTCGCTACCTCATCTGCAAAATGGTGTTGCTTAGCTTAACTAGGGGCTTGGAACTCCAACTGAGTGAGGGTGGTCTCCATGTCAGACTATGCTGAGGGTCCCCACTTAGGAGTTCTTATGGAGGACATGGTGTGGGGTCTGGATGAGGCTGCTTTTCAGTTGTCCCTACAACTTCAAGGAGAGCACATGGACTCCAGGCTCAATACAGTATGAGGACAGGGTAGAGTCCAAGGACAGGGCCTGAAGGATCAGTTCTCCTAGGGAAAAGGCCAAAGTCACTGAGAAAGAATGAGAACTCACCTTGGTTCTGCTGCTGCTCCTGTTGGAGGGCAATGTGGTGGCAGGCACCCTGGAGGACCCCATGCCAGTGGGCACTCTGGATGGCATTGTGCCAGCACGTGTTGCATTGATGGGCAATTTGGATGGTGCTGGATTGGTAAGCACAGTAGGAAGCATTGCACCAGGGGGCTTTGAGTTGGTGGGCAACTTGGAAGGCACTGTGCTGACAAGTGCTGTGTTGGCAGGCACTTTGGTAGGCATCAGGGTGGTGGGAGAAGGTGCTGAGTTGGTAGTCATAGAGTTGGCGGGTACCTCTGCATCGCTCGGGCAAATGGTAGCCTTAGCATGATCACCAGCTCCCTTTGTAGAAGCTAAGCCAGTGGAGGAAGGGGAGGAGGAGCCAACAGACATAGCTGACCCTGCTAGTCCAGGCAAGTGGCTTGCCCTGGAAGTAGAACGGACCAGGGGCTGGAAGGAGACAGTTGGAGACACAGGCCCGCGGGGTGATGTGGGGCTGGAGACAGCACCTGCAGATGGCAAAACAAAGGTAGAAACCCACAGAACCATTTTACCCTAGAAGAGGGTCCCTCTGCCCCAGATCACATTGTCCCTACTATATCCAGGCCTCCCAATCTCCTGCCCATGCAGGAGACTCCACCATTCCTTTGGTCAATGCTCTCAGGCCTGAAGGCTCAACAGGTACCCTGACCTAGACCCAAGTCTGTCTTGTCACAAGAGTGAAATGGTCCTTCCCTCAAACCATACCCAGGAGCTTGCTTCTTGTCTCCCACTTGGGACATCCCCACTCTTCCCATTTCTGCTTTTCTACCTCCTCCTTAGCCTGGTGGAATTCTGGGCGCTCCCCTCACTGTTGTCCCTTGTTTCGCCTGAGCAGGAACAATCTTGGACAAGGACAAAGGATAGCAGGATCGCTCAAACAGAATCCCTCACACCAATTAAGTGGCATCAGAGGCTTCAGGGTAAGGACAAAGCCACCTCCCAGAAGAAGCCTGACCTTGGGGAGCAGGAAGTAACAGGGAGTGACAGTCCATAAGGGCAGCAGCATCAGAAATCTCCATGGGGTTCTGAGGATCCACATCAGACTCCACGGCTGACAAATGTCAAGAGCAATGTTCGATGTCTCCATCCCCAGATCTAACCCAGAGATTTTCAGGAGACTTGTATCTACAAACATATTAAAATTAAAGTGCTTTGGACTGGGGGTATGGCTCAAGTAATACAGCACTGGCCAAGCAAGCACGAGGCCCTGAGTTCAAACCCCAGTACTGCCAATAAATAAATAAATGTGCCCTTTGCCCCCATGGGCCACAGTAGCATCCATGACAAGCGAATGTCGTAAAGCAGGAACAGATGCTTGGGGCTATTAGGGGTGGCAGGAGGGGAGGGCACCAAGATAGCTATTCCCAACCTTTAACCATTCTTATGCCTGTAACTGTCCCTGGACACCAAGGGCTGGCCATGTGTCCAGTGACCAGTGTGACATATGTGACCAGTGTTATGTGGAACACAGTTGGGAAGTAGTGGAGAAACACTGATCAGGTTGGACAGTGTTTACCCCTGAGGGGGGAGTACTGGTATGGGGTCCAGGCCCCTGGCTGATGAAGACCACACTTCCTCTGGGGGATGCGATATATTAGTGATTTTCTGGGAACTGGAGACACCTTTGGGGCAGGACAGTGCCTAAGGGCTCCCTGCCAACAGCACGTCCATCCTTTACTGTCCTTCCTGTCCTCCAGGCCTTGGCTGATTCCTAGAAGGTCCTTGTGGCAAAGTACAGAAGTGGCCTTAATTCTCTTCCCCACCAGTACAGCAATGTACAGCAATACACACCCATGTAGCAACTAGCCCCTCTGCAGTGTGACTTTGCCAGTTCTCCCATCTAAGGATATACATTTCTCCACTCTTTGAATCTGGGCTGGCCTTATAACTTGGGCAGGAGGTACACTGCCAGTTTTAAGCTTTTGCTTCCCCTCCCCTCCTCTCCTTCCCTCCCTCCCTCTCAGCTCTGCCCAACTGCAATGAGATGGGAGATGACATGGAAAAGAGCAAAGGTGCCCGAACCAACAGGCAGAAGTAGAGCACATGTATATGTGGGTGAACTCACTAGAGGAAATTCAGCCAAGACCCAAACTGTTTGGCATGTCAGTCATGTGCAAAACAATGGTTACATTTTAAACTATCTAAAGATATTTTTTGAACTATCTGTTACACAGCCAGTGCTAACTGAAATGTTCCCTAAAGAACTGTTCTGCTCCTTGGAGTGAACACCCTTTTTTCCCACCTTGCCTCCTGTCCAAGGAAGGCCAAGGGGCAACTCTAATCCTAACCTTCACTTGGGAGGTCAGAGAGGCCCTCAAACATTGCATTGCTACATACCTGCTATGTGAGTGCTGCCCAGTACTGGGTCCTGCTCCTGATGCCTGCTGGAGGTCAGAGGGCTGAGGACTGGCAGGTTAGATGAGGGCTTCAAGGAGCCACTGGATGTCCTCTGGACATCCCCAGGACCATGGGCCTGCTCTGAACTCTGCAAGAAGGGAAATGTGAGTAAGGAAGTTGTTTCTTCCAAGAGCTGGCAGAGGGGAGCTGATGTTCTTGGGACATCTCCTGCAGGTCTAAGCCCACACCCTGGAACCCAGGAACCAAGGGAGCCTTTGCCTTCCTTCTGATCACTGCCAGATCCTCTGTCTGGCATAACCTTGCACCTATGTCTTAGAGAACACACACCAGGGAGCTGAAAGTGTCATTCAGTAGACTACTTGTCTAGCATGCACAGGGTGCTGGGTTTGAGTCCCAACACTTAAAAAAAAACTGAAAAGCAAGGCCAGCTGCAATGGTTCATGCCATTAATCCTAGTCATTCAAGAAGTGGAGAATGGGAGGATCCCAGTTCAAGACCAGCTCAGGCAAAAAAAGTTTGCTGGGCATAGTGGCAAGTACCTGTCATTCCAGCTACCCAAGAAGTATAAATAGAAGGATCATGGAGGACCCCAGCCATAAACACCAGACCCTACTTGAAAAACAACTAAAGCAAAAAGGGATCCATGACTCAAGTGGTAGAGAATCTGCCCAACAAGCTCAAGACCCTGAGTTCAAATCCCCATACCCCTCTCCCAAAAAAAAAACCACACACTGACCTATGGTTGTCCCTATCCACCTGTCTGGTCCTATGGAAAGGTCTCTCTCTCTCTCTCTCTCTTTCTCTCTCTCTCTCTCTCTCTCTCTCTCTCTCTCTCTCTCTCTCTCTCTCTTTCTCTCTCTCTCTATCTCCATCTCCATCTCCATCTCCCTCTCCCTCTCTCTGCAGCCACTGCACAGAGTCCTTTCTTCAGGGGGTCTGCACAGACCCTGTGGCCTCAGATCCACCATTTGGTATCTCCTGGGTACTCCTTGGCCTACGCATCACATCTCAGTAGAACTGGTCATCTTTCCCCCCACACTTTACCGGTGATAATCCTAGTCCCCATCATCCACCATGACCTCCATACCCTCTACCCCCCACCAAACTGGTCATTCCCCAGGCTTCGCCACTCAGCTCCACATCTCACACAACCTTTCCAAAGACCTCCAAACTGTGGCCTCCCAGTGGGCTGATGACAGAGTGCTGGGGGGTTACCACAGGTCTGGCAAGCAGGCTAGTAGTCTGGGAGCTCTGGGGTTTTTAGCAGAGATTAGGCATGATTTATGGAGGCAGGGGGAGAGCTTCTGAAAGGCTGGGTAGGCAGACAGGAATACAAAAGTGGATAGCCTAAAGTAGTCTATGAGGACGTACCTCTTCTGGGGACTCTGGTGGCTGGGTGTCCTGGATAGGCCTGGGATAGCTTGGTTCCCCTCGATAGCCATTGTGAGGGATGCTGTGGACAGTAGCAGGTGCAGAGGCTTCTGGACCCTCGGCAGAAATTGCTGGCATCACTTCCAATGGGTTAGAGGAGTTGGGTGGGGTTCCTGGAGGAGAAAGATACGGTGATGTCAAGAAATAACCATGGGTATCCTGGTTATGGTAGAGGTCTTTGGGTTCCCAGCCCTTCTTCTTAACTCTGAAAGCTGACCTGATGTGGGATGCACTCAGAGGCTATATGCATCACTAGGACAGTACAGGAGTGAGAGGGAGATAGGAGAAGTGGCAAGGGGGCAGGAGGGCTCTTAAGCCCCTCCCCACACAGGCTGTGTCAGTGGTCAGCCTTTCTCTGACCCAAGGCTTTCTTCTCCTCACAGCTCTCACCCCCAACTGACCCCTGCCACCACCTACCCCAGCCCTCCCACAGTTGTTTATAATCAAAAGATCGCTATTGCCTGGCAGGTAGCTCACACCTATAATCCTAGCTACTCAGGAGGCAGAGATCATGAGGATCCGAGGTTAAAAGCCAGTCCCAGGCAAATAGTTCAGGAGACTTTATCTTGAAAATACCCAATCCAAAACAGAGCCGGCAGAGTGGCTCAAGTGGTAGGGTGCCTGCCTAGCAAGTGTGAGGACCTGAGTTCAAACCCCAGTACCGAACTGGAGGTGTGGCTCAAGTGGTAGAGCACTTGCTTTGCAAGCACGAGTCAAATCTCAGTCCCATCAAAACAAAACAACTGCATCAAACCCCAGTACCACAAAAGAAAAATTATCAAATGAAGATACCAGTTATGAAAAAAGGGGGGAAAAAAAAGAAAGAAAAGCAAACATGGAGTATCCTAAGCTGTAAGTGTAACTGAGATTTCAGGGGTGCTCTGAACTCTTTCTCAGATCCCATCCCACTAAATCCCCTCTGGTCACTGGCAGGGGCATTGAGGGGAATTAAGGAAAAACTGGGCAGCTGGGGAGGAAAAGGGGTGGAGACCAAAATGTAAGGACAGGAATGGAGAGAAGGAGATGAAGGAGTTGCAGGTGGAGAGAGATGTGGAAGGCAAACACCCTAGCTACAAAAATGAGGTCCCTATGCTGAGCACATGTAAGTGCATCATCCTGAGGTGTCCATCCACTGCGGTCTTCCATGGCAGACACTGTCATTTTGCAGAGGAGAAATCTGAGGATCAAAGAAATTAAGGGACTTGGCCAAAGGGACACAGCTCATAAGTAACTCAGCCAGGATCTACCAGTGTGTTCTTTGCTCAGGAGTGATGGGAGGGAGGGTGAGAGAAAGGCAGGAGGCCCAAGAGCAATGCCAGGGCAGGCAGCTCACCACGAGGTAGATAGCTCTGGTAGACTCCAGCCACTTGTTCAGCGAGCCCAGGCAGCTCACAGGACCTCAATGCCCCAATGAAGAAGTCCACCCAGCCTGGCCGCCGCTGGAGGTTGTTGAAGAGCTCCCAGAGTGTGTCCCGGTTCCCCAGGCGCGTGTAGGAGGCCCGCAGTCGGTCCTGGAAGAGAGTGCAGCCTCCCTGCTCAAGACAGGTGGTCCCCACCCCTCCCCCACCCAGAAGAGGGATAGTGCAGAGGGAGTATCAAGAAGGAAGCAGCTGTAGAGACCACCCAGGACAAGGTCAGGGCAGGAAACCAAGTAAAGAATGAGGAACACAACTAGCAACAATAAAGGCAGCTGTCAGGAAACAGGCTACAGCTCCAGCCTATCCTCTCCCTAAGGCTTTATATGAATTATCCTACATAGAGCTAATTATCCCTACTTTCCTGATGAGGAAACAGGCTTAGCAGAGTAAACTAGCAAAGACCCTACAGCAGTGGACCAGGAATCCAAAGCCTTGGGTTTAGGCAGCCCCCAAAGCAAAGAGAGAGGTTTGGGTGAGCAGAGGAGGAAAATGCATGACAACAGTAAAGTGAATGGGGGTAAAGAAGAAAAGAGGGGCCAAGAATGGGAAACAAGGCTGAGTACTGGGGGAGGGTATTCGGGGAAGATGACAACAGCTGCAGAGTTTTTATAGCAACCCAATTTCCCATATAAAATCAAGCAATCAAACAGCACAAATGAAACTCATAGGAACTAAGCTGGGCATGGTGGTACACACCTGCAATCCCAGCACTTGGGAGGCTGAGGCAGGAGGATAGTGAGTTCCAGGTCATTGAAATTTTACTTGCTAGGCAGGCATTCTATCACTTGTGCCATACCTCCAATCCTTTTTGCTCTGGTTATTTTGGTTTATTTGCACAAGCCAGCCTGGACTGAGATCCTCCTATGTTATGCTTCCTGCCATTGCTGGGAATACAGACGTGACCCATCAGTCCCCAACGCAATGGTACTCTTGAGACACTTGAGGACAGGTGTCTTTTGGGTCCCAAAAGAACCCTCAGAGCCCACAGGCCAGCCTACACTACATAGAAAGACCCTGTCTCAAAAATAAATAAAGAAAAAGAAAAAGAAAACCTTGTGCTGGGAGCACAGGGGTCCCATCTGAGAGCAACTAAAGCAGAAAGGGGCTTTGCCACTTCATTGGCTAATGAGCCCAGGGGGCCCATAGCAAGTCCAAGTGGAGCAAGAGAGATCTAGCTCCTATGAGCTCTCAAATCTGAGTCCCAGGGCTCAGATTCCAGGGCACAGTCCCACAACAAGGAAAATGGAATCAAAACTAAGCAGATGAAGGAAAGGACAAGAGAGATGAAGAACAGGTTCTGAAAAATAGTAGGTGTGGGGATCAGAGCCAGAACATCCCAGAATGCCAACACCATATTTTTAAGCACTACACAAAAACAACACAAGAGGGAGCTGGCGGGGTTAGAAAAGCCACGGGGAACCATACTTTGATCTAAATTAGAAAAGCAGCTAAGACTAGAAGCAAAACCCAGAAGGAAGGAGGGAGCTGGCTCTGTCCTGAGTGAAGAACTGGGATGGAGCTGAACTTGGAAATTCTACAGCCTTGCCCCCAGTCCTGTGTCTGGCTATCACTTCGCTGGCTCACCTGGTCGCTGGCTGTAAGGCAGGGCAGGTAAGGCAGAATCTCTAGAACATCAACCCGGCAAAAATCGCTGTGATGGCGGCAGATATACTTATAGGTCTTGTCCTCAGCAAAGGTCATGGCTGCTCAGCTTCTGAACAGAGGGGTCCCAGGAAGAGAGGATGGACTGAGAGAGGTAAAGAGACTGCAAGAAAAGAGATCACTCATGGGAACAGAGCTGGGAGTAGGAGTGGGGTTGGATGAAGGCAATTCTTTATCCATTTTTTGGAATCTTTTATTTTGTTCCTTTAATCTTTAATTTCTTTAAACATCCTATGTTATTATTGACTAGATCCCAGAGGCTCTCAAAGAATTTGCTTAAAAATGAATGGTGGCAGAATCAGATACAGATCCACGGTCCATTTCTGCCCTGTGGGTTCCACTGGTATTGGGAAGAGTCTGTATGTACCTCTAGCACATATGTGTGTATGGGGGAGGGGGATTCTGTATGTACCCCTAGCTGCTGTGCCTGTGAGGCTTTAAAGCAGGACAGCAAGAGAGCAACCTATAAGTGCTGCTTTTTTTTTTTTTTTTTTTTTGGTATGGCTAGGATTTGAACTTAGGGCTTTGTACTTGCAAAGCAGATGCTCTACCACTTGAGCCACACATTTAGTCCATTTTGCTCTGGTTATTTTGGAGATGGGGGTCTCACAGACTATTTGCCCATGCTAGCCTCGAGCTGTGATCCTCCAGATCTCAGCCTCATAAGTAGGTAAAATTACAGGCATGAGCCAACAGTGCCTGGCTTAAGTGCTGCTTTTTTGGGTAATATCAAAAGAAAAGGAAGGAAGGAAGGAAAGAAGGAGGGAGGAAGGGAGGGAGGAAAGAAAGAGAGAGAGAGAAAGAAAGAAGCTGTACCTGATCATAATAGGATCATCCTACTGTAAAGATGAAGAAAATGAGGTACCAAGAAATTAAGGGGCTTGCTAATTACAGGAAGAGCAAAGAACTGAGGACTTAGAATCGGTTTTTTCCAGAACAAGGCGGCAAACACAACATTAAAGCTTGCTATATATATATTCTTATGACAGGAGACAGGGGTCCAGTGCTCTGAAGTCACTGTGTGACTCAAGCCAGCCTTGTCCAGTTTTTCCTTAAAATGATTCACAGAGCTTGTGTTTTGACAATACAGTAGTTTATACATAAAATCTTTAAAAATTTTACACTACCTCAAATACAAGCAAGCATTATTTATATAGCACTTACCGTGGTTTGCAATTATAGATGTGTTTTTGTTTGTTTCTTATTTGCCTCCCCATGGGGAGGGCAGGGAATAAGAGAAACAAGGTGTATGCCATCATGTTCTATTGGGGGAGGGGGACAGATAACAGATCAGTAAATGTAAACCTAAATAAGAAGGTGGAGTGGCTCAAGTGTTATGACACCTGCCTAGCAAGAGTGAGATCCTGAGTTCAACCCCTCAGTACTGCGGAAAAAAAAAAGGAAAGAAAAAGAAATCCAGAGAGTACTTCAGGGCATAGAGAAAATAAAGCAGGGCCCTGGAGAAGGGAATGCTGCTTGAACTAGGGTGGTCATGAAAGCCCCCCTGAACTATCAACATTTGAGTTGAGTGGTTCTCAGCCCTGAGAAGATTGGTGTCTCAGACAGAAGGCAAACACAAAAGTCCTAAGATGGGAATGAACTTGGCATGTTCGAATAATAGAAAGCAGGCCAGTGAGTGGTTTAGAAAGCTAGGGGGTAGGACAAAGATCAAGGTCAAAGGTGGCAGGGGCCACTCATGTAGGGTGTGGTAGGGAAGGACTTCAGGTTTTATCTGGAATGAAACAGGGAAACACTGGACGGTTCTAGCGGGGGGGAAAAGGAGGATGTGATTTACACCGAAGACCTTTCTGGTAGTTGAGGGCTGTAGGAGGACAAGGGTGGAAGCAGGAAGAGGAGACAGGAGGTCACAGGGGGAGATGTGATGGATGTGGCAGGATGGTAACCATGGAGGTGGAGAGGGACAGCCTGATACATGGTGTTTTGTGGAGATGGGAGGAGGGAAAGAGAATCAAGCACTGCTCCTTGAGCACTCCAGGGAGCACTAAGGATGCCACGGAGGAGCCATGATCAAGAGGGAGCTCCGGAGTTCCATTTTGAATGAGTGAAGTTTGGGATGCTACAGGGCTCCAACAGCATTATGGGGAAGGCAAAGGGCAGAGGAAAGGGGACCAAGTGGGTGTCATGGTACATGAGACATCTAGAGACAGTGCTGCAGAGCAGGGTGTGCCCATACCTGCTGCAGGCACCAGGCTGGCGCTACATGGGAAATGGGTCAGCGGTCCTGTCTGGTGGCCTCACAGCTCCATTCTGCATGACTAGCACTGCCAACCACCAGGCGCCACATTCCTGGTGGGGCAGGCGCTAGTGAGGGAAGGCCACATCAGAGAGGTGAGGTGGTGGCCTTCTGACCCTTTGGAAGATGAACAAAAAACACCCTGCGGAGGTAGAAGGACCCTTTCTCCTTCTCTTCTCTCGGCATCTAGGAAGGTACCAGGAGGGGATCCGGCAAGAACTCATCTACAGCCCAACCTCATCCCTTCAGGCACAGATGGGGGAGAGGGGAGCGGGGAGGGAATGTAGCCCACCAAAAGGAAAGGAAGCCCACAGTTGTTCGCATTTATTGAGGGCTCACTTAGGGACATCCTAATATTCTTCCGCTTAGTCCTTGCCACAATCACAGGACGGGGTAAGTAATACTAAGTTACACAGCTGGCCAGGGGTCCACGCAGAATTTGAGCCCATGACTTTCTGCTTCATTACAGTAGATCTTATACCTTGCCTTATACCTGCAGCAAGAGGGCCACACAACCCCTTGCCTTTATGCCCAGGGGAAGAGCCAAGGTTACTGCCTGTGTGAGGGTGGTCGCCAATGAAAGTGCCCCTGGGAAGATGCAGCATTAAGTCCCTTCTCTTAAAGAGACAGAAATGGAAATCTTTCAGACACGGCTGGGGACATCCGTTAACATCGTTAACATCGGACTTGCTTCCCAGATGGCGGACTGTCCTCCAAGACGTTTTTGAAACTTCACAGCATCCATACAGAAAACGTCCTTCTTAACACTTTGTTTCCATCCTTTTCCTGGCACCTCCTTCCAACTTCAGAGAAATGGAAATGGCAGAGTGTTCCAAAGTCTTGGACCAGACTGCTCTGGAGCCTCGGAGCGGTGTCAGAAATACCCACCCTCCCGAGGGGCAGGCCTCACAGCCTCGGATCGGATTCCTGGGCGGGACCCAGGTCCTCCCCCGGAAGGAAGGTTGTTGTGGGTAGGTGTCACCATCGAGCACTGTCAAGATCCAAGGGCGGGCCGCAACCACTCCCCTGCGCGGCCGCCACAGGGCGCACCCGGGCTCGGCCTCGCCTGAGGGTCACCCTGGGCCTTCGAGAGGCAGCAGGAGCTCAGCCCGTCTCCTTCCGGTCCAACGGTTCCCAGAGCCACCGCAGACGCCCCGCGCCACCTACCCCGGCCCCCGGGTGCTGGATGCAGCGAGTTGGGCATTCGGTGTCCCGAACCCTCGCGCCGCAGGACTTGCTCTCCCAGAGTCCCGCGCGCTCGGTTCCCTCCCGGCACCCCCGCGTGACTCCGACCCCATGCGTCCCGGCGTACTCCGAGTGCCACCGGGCTCGTGTCACAGCAGCCCACCTCCCCGAAGGACGTTGGTGCGCGCCATGCCCAGAGCACCGAGCGCCAAGGCAGCCAACTTACCTAGAGTAGCCACCACCCGGCAACCAGCTGACCGCCGTCCGCAGCGCCGAACCCTCCCCAAGGTGGGGGCGGGGCGGAGCCGGGCCCGCGCGCCCATTGGCCGGGCAGCAGGCGGGGCTTCGCGGGCACGAGTGGGTGGCTGCGCGGCGGGGGCAGAACTTGGCCTTGGTGCGCGGGTGGGGAAGCTCTCCGGTAGGAGTTGGTTTTGGACCTAGTTTCCTGCTAGGGGCGTCGGGGGTCGGGGAGAGGGCAAATTGTTTTCTTCCTTTACTGATGTCCCCAACTTCTCCGGGGAAATCCAGGGTTCTGCCAGAAATCAGGCGGGCGGCTCACCTCGGAGTCATCCGCGGGTTTGGGATCCCATCCCCACGCTAAGTGAAGCTACCCCTGCTCCAGCCAAGTGCTCTGAGGGGAGAAAGCCTCATGTCGCTCGCTCCTGTGTCCCCAGGGCTTGGCACACAGTACTCAGTAAACATCAGGTGATACGCACAGGTCACAGAATCGTGAGTGCCTAGGCAGTGGTGGACCCTTGGGAGAATTCAAACTGGAGATTGCAGGGTAGATAGGGGTAGGGCAGAGACGCCAAGGTTAATTGACCTATCAGATATTAACCAATAATCAGATAAAGTAGGTTTATTCTTTCTGTTTTAAAGAGAGATTAAGAAACTTGGGGTAATGTTTGGCAGTTACTACTAAACTTAAAATACATGCCAACCCTATTACCCAGCAATTTCATTTTTGGATAAACATCTACTTACAAGCATACACACTAGATAATGTCCTGGTGATTTTATTCATAATAGGCAAATTCTGGTAGCAATTCAAATACCCATCAGTAAAATGAATGAAGAGATAAACTGATGTGTACTCACACAATAGAATAGCACTAGGCAGCGAAAGGAACAAACTATTGATTTGCACAACACAGAACATGGATGAATCGCTCCACCCATGAATGGATGGATGCCATGACTAAATGGTGCTCAGCTCATGGAGCTAAACATGAGGTCGTGATGGCTGCTTCCAGTTACATAAGTTTTAAAAAGAGGAAAAACTAGTGTACATCACCAGCCGCAGGTGGCTCAGAAGGATCGTGGTTCAAAGCTAGTCTCAGGCAAATAGCTTGAAAGACCCTATCACGAAAAAAAAAGTTACAAAAAGAGAGCTGGTGGAGAGGCATGCCCTCTAGGATGCAGAAGTGTTCTATAGTTTGACATGGGTCAATGGTTCACTTACTATCAACTGCAGTATTTTTTTGCGGGGGGCAGGGTTTGGCAATACTAGGGTTTGAACTCAGGGCTTTGTGCTTGCAAAGCAGGCACTCTGCAGCTTGAACCATTCTTCTTTTGTGTGTGTGTGTGGGAGGGGAGTACTGGAGCTAGAACTCAGGGCCTACACCTTGAGCCACTCCACCAGCCCTTTTTTATTACGGAGTTTTTTGAAATAGGGTCCCAGAAATCATTTGCCTGGGCTGGCTTCAAACTGCAATCCTGCTGCTCTCTGCCTCCTGAGTAGCTAGGATTATAGGCGTGAGCCACCAGCACCTGGCTTCAGGTGAGATTTTATTACTGTTCTGGGTAGCTCTGTGGATATTTCTCAACCTTTAGCGTTTACAGAGTATTCTAAATTATATCTCAATTGTAATAAAGTGAGCTTTACCTTGTTTAGCTAAGAGTGGGTAAGCATTGTTAGCTCTGGAGTCAATCCTGCCAGCTGGCCTCCAGTGGCTCACGCCTGTAATTCTAGGTTCTTAGGAGACTGAAATCTTAAAGATTGAGGGTCAAGGCCAACCCCCAGCCAAAAAAGTTCACCAGCCCTCATCACAAACAATAGTTGGATTAGGTGATGTGCATCTGTCATCCCAGCTACAAGTGGGAAGTACAAAATAGGAGGTTTGTGGTCCAGGCCAACCTGAGCAAAAAGTGAAACCGTATCTCCAAAATAACGAGAGCAAAACAGGCTGGAGGTTTGGTTCAACTGGTAGAACATTTACCTAGCAAGTGCAAAGTCTTGAGCTCAAGACCCTAGTACTGTGAGGAAAAAAATCAATCCTGCCTCTGCAACCCACCTCAGGATGGCCTGACTCCAGTGGCCATGTATGCAAGAACATTGGAAGTATGGGGACTGGCTTCCAAATGTGGCTGTCCTCCCAGTCTTTGTTGGCCCTTGAAGGGCATTAGAAGGACCACACCCAGGTCCTGGTGTGGGTGGTAGCCTATCACCTGTTAACAGCTCTAAAAAATCTAGACAAAGGCACAGCGTCATGCCTATGCTATTCCTATTAAAAGCTCATCATATGAAGCTAGTTGCAAGAAATCAAGAAAACCCTAAATAGGGGATGTTTGACAATTGTCCTGTCCAATACAGTTGCTATAAACCACACATAGCCATTTTAATTGAAATTAAATATAATTTAAAAGTCAGCTCCTGAGTCCCATTAGCCACATTTCAATGTGACATTCACCTGGCTACTGGCGATCATATTAGACTGCAGAGAAACAGAGCCTTTGTATCACCCTAGAAAGTTCTCTTGATCAGTACTGATATACAAAACAACTCTTCAAAAATGTCAGGGTCATTAAAGACAGTGAAGATGGGAGAACAGGTCCAGAGTAAAGGAGACCATAGTGTCATGCCAGCTACATGCCATGTGGGATCCTGGGCTGGATCCTGAAATAGAATAGGGACATTAGTGGGACAAATGGTGACATCTACACAAGGATTTGGATTAATTAACAATAATCTATGGTGTCCATTTTCCATTTTGGATCATTGTCCAGTGGCTATATAAGACGTATTTGTATTATTTTGCAAATGTATTATAAAGATTATTTAAACATTATAAAGTAAAATAAAATGAGAAATCATCTTGTGTCTCCATGTGGCTATTTACATTACTTTGTCTTTCTTTTTCAAGCGGGACTGGGGTTTGAACTCAGGGCTGCATTCATGCAAAGCAGGCAAGTATGCCACACCACGTGAGACACTCTTCCAGTCCATTTTGCTCTGGTTATTTTGGAGATGGGGTCTCAAGAACTATTTGCCTGAAGCTGGCCTTGAACCTCAATCCTCCCAATCTTCAGCTTCCCAAGTAGCTAAGATTATAGGTGTGAGCTACCAGCACCTGGCTCATTTTATCTTTTATTGCTCAGTGCATTTGCCCTATTTCATGGGTGCAGTTCATTGGTTTTTGTCCATTTATTAGCAGAAAGTTGGGTCCAGAGAGTGATCTATGCCCTAGGCTGACTCCAGTGAGAGCCTTGGGAACTTACTTGCCAGGTAAAGCTCACCCCAGGTAGACCCATGTTTCCAGGCCAATGCTTGGAGGAATGCTGTGACCCACCAGTGATGATTCAGCAGTTGTCAGCTCACATTTCCCCCAGAGAACAGAGGTCAGATCCAAAGATAGTGCCTGAGGGCCTCCAAAATGATCATGCTGTCATGGCTGAGTCCTTCAGGGAACATTCTCAGGCTGAAAAACAAAACTTAACCCCTGCTTTTACAACTTTATTTCAAATAATGTTTTTAACTTTTTGTTGTTCTTCCCCACCCCCCACCAGTGCTGGGGATTGAAAGGAGGGCCTCTTGCATGCTAGGCAGGTTAGGCAGGTGCCATACCACTGAGAAATACCTCCAACATGTAAATGGTTATTCTTGAAACTATTGTTTTTTCTATACTGTCTATTTACTTGTATGCATGTGATTTGTACAACTAATGTGAGAAAAGCACAAATGCTTGGTGAAGAAAACTGAACTCTATACTCTTTTTTTTTTTTTTTTTTGGCACTACTGGAGTTTGACCTCACGCTTCTAGGCAGGCATGCTACCACTTGAGCCACTCCACCAGCATCTTTTTGTGTTGGGTATTTTTTGAGATAGGGTCTCACGAACTATTTGACTGGGCTGGCTTCAAACCACGATCCTCCTGATCTCTGCCTCCTAAATAGCTAGGATTATAGACATGGGCCACCAGCACCCTGCTGAAATCCATACTCTTGAGAGCTTGTTTGGAGGTTCTAGCAGGGGAGCGCAGCTACTCGTATACCCTTGACCGAAGAACGGTCCTCCTCTATCGGGGATGGTCGTCCTCTTCGACCGAGCGCGCAGCTTCGGGAGGGACGCACATGGAGCGGTGAGGGAGGAAGGGGACACCCGCCTAGCCAGCCAGATCAGCCGAATCAACCCTGGCGATCAATGGGGTGACAGATGTCGCAGCCAGATCGCCCTCACATCCTGAAATCCATACTCTTAATGCCACCACCCAGGAGTGAGTGCTGGTGACACCCCAGTGCTTTTTCTTTTAGTGTTTTCTGAGTCCTCTTGCTTCCTAGGCTCCCCCTTTCCTGACCAGTCCTGTGAGAGGGTTTAACCCAAGATTCAGGTCATAAGAGGATCTGGAAGGAATCTCCTCTACCTCTTGGAGGGAGGGCGGGGATCTCAGGAAGGAGTGGGCTTTCTTAGTCCTTCTCTGGGGCTGTTGGCCTCTGGGGTCAGCATGGACTCTTCATCAGGACTTGGGGCACTGTGTGGTTGGTGCCCTGCCACTTAGGGGATGCTACCTGCCATTTCTTGAAAATCACTGGCATAGGCCACCTGACAGCAGATGATTCCTAGGGATCTTCAGGGAAGGCAAAGAAGGGAATACTCAGGGAGTGACTTCTTACTGTCCATATCCCTCCGTGGTCCTGGCTTCCTGCCATGATGCTGTGCCTTACTTGCTCTCAGCTCCTCTTGCTGTGCCCCTCCAGGTATCAGGTGTTCAGCACAGGAAACAGAAATCACACTGGGTATTTTATGCATGGAAAGATTTGGTTTCTTGAAGCATAATTTACCTTCAGTGAAATATATCAACCTGCTGAGTTCTGGTGGCTTATGCCTGTAATTCTAGCTTCTGGAAGCTGAAATCGGAAGGATCATGGTTCAAAGCCAACCTTTAAAAATAGTTGGGAAATAGTTCGTGAGACCCTATCTCCAAAAGAACCAGAAAAAAATGGACTAAAGGTGTGGCATAGGCAGTAGAGTGCCTGCTTTGCAAAGAATTCAAAACCTA